TTAATTAATTAATTAATATTTACATTAATTAATTAATTATATAATTTAATTAATATAATTAATTTAATTATTTATAGTCTAACTATATTGATAATGAGTCTACAAATGAATGTTATATTGTATTTTCAAATTCTTCAAAAAAAAATATTGTCGTAAGTATTTTAATAATAAAAATAAGCATTATTATAAAATTTTAAATATAATTAGTATTTTAATATTTTATATTGCATTATTAGCTTATCCTCATCAATCAGGAAATAAAATATGTTATGGTCAAATTAAAAAAAAATTATGCAAAGTCAAATTTTATAAAATTATACCATTAGATCTTAAAGCATATCCGTTTGTAATTCTTATATATAAAGGATTATATACATATCCACCACCTTCTTCTACATGAACTTCAGATAATATTAAACAAAGATTGCAAATGCTTGTTAAACAGGCCAATGAAGATTTATTAGATGTAACTCCTACTCACATTATAACAGGTAAATTTAAAATTAATATTATCTAATATTATATATTTATAATATAATATTTTTTAATTATTTTTTATTGTATTTAGGCAATTTAATTAGAACTTATTTTGGTGTTAATAATTTATATGAAGTACATACTTCACTTAATAATACAAACAAGTTACAATATTGTGTAAACAAGATTCAAAAAAAAAAACATCCATTCGGTCAAGACTTATTAGGAGTTATATATAATTTTTCATGCAATATTGATAACTTTCAAGATTATGTTTAACAATTAAGTAAGTATTACAGTATATAAATAAAAATTTTGAAATTTAGAATTTATTTATTTAATTTATTTATTTGATTTAGATTTTTTTAATGATGGACATCTAATGATTATTTGTACTACTTAAGTTCAAATACAAAAATGGATAAAATGTAATTATTTTGAAATCAATTTATCATTTAAAAAAGTCACTGGTGAAATTAATGAATTTGAAATAAATTATTATGATAAACAGTATAATACAAGTAAATATTTTTTATATTATATATATAATACATATATATTTTTATAATATATTAATTATAATTTATTTATATATTAGTTTTAACTTTTGCTCGAATATTTACAAATCAAGCAACTAGTATTGCATATCAACACATGTTTAATGCATTATTTGATCTTGTCAAACAATTTACTAATGATTCGGCAAAGTTTAATCATATTCATAGAAAAGGATGGACTTGTATTATTGGTGATCTTGATATAGCACAGCTTACTGGCTTAGATGAAGCTTTAGCTTTAATTGATAATTCTTATACTTGGGAAGAGCATTTAATTTATATTTTCAAATCTTGTCAAGTTC